TTTAGTGTAAATTTTCAATATCACCGATATTTTTTTTATCATACGATATTTTTAAAGGTTTTATTAGAACAAATACCTATTACATAACCCCAGGAATACCAGGACTATAGAAGTACAGGCTGCTAAAAACAAAATGTAAATAACATTTTATTGTTTTCACTCGTAGGAAGTTTCACAGTAGTCCCAGTGGTAGAGAAGGTAAGGAGTAAAAGGTTAGCAAGGTATGGGCATGTTATGAGGAGGGATGAATCACATGTTACAAGGAGAACGTTAGTTATGAGTGTGGAAGGGTACACCGGTAGAGGTAAACCTAGAAAGAGATGGATGGATTGCGTGAAAGGTGACATGATCAAAGAGGAAGTGATGACTGAGATGACGTATGTTAGAGTTATTTGGAGGACAAGAACCTGTTGTGCCGACCCTACGGGAGTAGGATAAAGAGGATGATGATGATCGTTTTCACTCGTATTTTGTATGGAACAGTTTACGTAATGTAAAGTAAGTAAGTAATATTATTTGATTATCCCAAGTGTTTAACGAAATAAATCGTATTAACTAACACTAAAATGACTTAAGTTTCAATTATACAAAGAAACCATAAAAGTACAAGTCAATATCGGGTCAAAACGACAAGGTGGATTTCCTTCGGCTAACGAAATATGAGCTGTTTGTAATCAACGACAAATGAAATCAATAATTTTTACTGATTAGTGAAAAATCCATCCATACATAGTTACAGGACAATAGGGCGATGGTTTGCGAAGGTGTGGAAAATTCGTGGCAGAATATTCAAAGAATTTCCTTCAAAATGTAAAAAAATAATAATTAGTTTAATATTCGGATTTATTTTATTTGGAACTGAAAGAGCAGGAAATTAGACATCTGGGCAGCATTATTTTTAGACTGTAACTACGAATTCTGCGTCAGCATCATGAAATCTAGTTTGGAATCTGGAGCAATTCATAGCGGTCACGCTAGCGTTCAACTTTCTTTCTGATGTTAATTTACATTACTCAATTAAAACAACTACTTACCTTAAATTACCACTAATTAAACATGTTATTTAACCCTCAAATACAAGATTTTTCCTTTTTAAATACCGTAAATCAAAATGGGTAGTAAATTAAACATAGATTAAGAGGAAAATAAAAAAAAAATCTGTTTTCAAAATAGTTTACTGTGAAAGGAAGAAAAGACTAATGTATAAATGCATCATCATGCAATTATGGGTTAAATATCGCTTCTTTTGCAACGTTAGAAATATTGTTATATATTAAACAAGCAAAAGCCCTCGACCTCTGAAACTATCTGATTATCAAGTATATTTTTTGTATTAAACTATTTTATATTATTATAGAATCTCGGTCACGGACAATAACATAATATTTATCGGAACAAAAGGGAACAGATCCGGTGAGTAAAGGAACAGAGCAAAGGAAACCAATCGGCGAGTAAATGAAAACGTTGTTTGCACAGGATGGAAAATTCTCTCCGATATTTTCTAACAATACGAGGGCTGCAATCGTACGTTTCATCTTACAGAAAACAAAGAAACTAATACACGAGACGAATATAAAAAGAAAACATTTGTACACGAACAAGTCCATAGGGACACGTAGAAATTTGAGTACTATTTAAACCAAAAATATAAAATTTCACTACTACGAATATGTAGTAAAATGTCAAGAAGAATTTGCGTTTTACTTCATTCGCATTGCAACGGAGGATGCATTGTACCAGTGGAGTATCGAAGCTCCTATACAATGAGTTGAACGAGATAAGCCTCGTCGAATAAGACAGTAAGCAGAAAACAGAACTTTCATATACTTCTTTTTATAAGTCAAAAATTCGATCACAAAATGTTTCGCAATTCGTTTCTAACAAACATTTATTCAATTCAAACTTGAGTTCGGGTACATGATATATCAGATGTCCTACACAATTGACAATGATTCACGCGATAAAAAATAATGGTATTACAAAAAAACTACCACTCAGACATTAATTAAGAAACATCCTCAAAGTTAAATACACGTTGTAGAGGTAAGAATTTATTTCTACTTATAGACGGTAATTTCTCACGGTACGTAAGAACGTAGGTGTAATATAAACCAAAATATGTTACATCTATATTTTTAAATAAATTACTTAAACGTCGATTGAGATAGAAGTTATCTATACTTAATATTATAAAAAAGGAAAGATTTGTATTTTTGTATGTATTGAAATAACTCAAAAATTACATGGCCGAATTTAAAAATTCTTTTACCGTTAGAAAGGTAATTTATCTGTGAATAACAAAGGCTACGCGGGCGAAGCCCTGAGTAACAGCTAGTATGCAATATTGTTAAAAGTTGAAGAAATAAACGATTTATAATGTTGCAAGTATTCTAATTCCCGCAATAACGAGTAGACTACGCAGTTATGGAATGGAGAGCAAGTTTGCTATTGTGATAAAACATTTTCGCGCATGATTAGACGGACTAATGGGCGATACGAGAGTTTATCCACAATTCTCTAACAACGATGTGTGGATCGAAAGAAATATACTTTGTTGTATTGAAATTGTTATCTACATGTTCAGAAGTTATCAGTAACAGGTGGTGAAAAATTTAAGTCTTCGAAGGACTTAAATCAATATAAATACGATAAAATTATATTCCTTCAATTCAATACATTCAAAGATAATTTAAATCAAATAATGAACGTATAAAATCAAACATATTTTTTTAGTAATCAATAGAATAACGTTACAATAATTGAATTTTTCCTCTTACAATTCAAATTTTTGATCGAAAAGTTCTTTAAATTGTCCTTCAAAATTCAAAATCACATCACAAGCTACATATAGGTTGCAACACTCAGGAATTTACTATTATTTTACCACACAACAGCGGCATGTTAAACGTTACGACGATCTAATTCGGTTATTAAAATAATCTACTGAACGCTTCGCAACACGAACTCTGAAACCGACAGTGTTATTTAACGAGTCATCGTACAATATCGAAAGATATTTAGGTCGAACATAAAGACCTAATTGGTTCTCTTATTTATGAGGCATCGCGTTTAAGCACTTACAACGACAGACGCCAGACAGACTATATGCTTCAAATATACGCTAACTAGCCTTGTATTTTTTACAGGCTTGCAAAAAATAATGACTAAAAGTGACAAAGTTGTAGTAAATTTAAACACAAAATCAGATTTTTAGCAATAGTAAGTTATTAAGTAGCAATTTGTTTTGCGAATAAACTCCCGGTAATCATACTAATAATATAATGCGATCATTTAATAAATGAAGTAATCACTGAAATCATCGACAGAATCGATCGCGCGTAGTCGCGTGCCGATTTTTTTTTCTAGACCACTTTACCAGCACTGACCCGTATTGAATTTTTTTTCTTAGACTTTCTCGTCGTCGTAATTTTATACTTGATTCTACTTTTCCCTTTACTCTTACGCAAAAATGAAAGCCTTGGGATTCATTAAGTTGTAGTTTAGATTTAAGTTCTATACATTATAGTTAAAGTGTAAACTATAACTTGTAAACTTGATAATTCAAACTGTGAAAAAGTCAGTGACCTTGGCAACGATTTTTTACTTAGATTAGTGTTGATTAGATAATAATCAGGTGAATATAGACAATACTATACTGAGCTGCAATACTAATGTAAATAATCAATAGGAATATTAATGGATTTGTAAAGTTCTATGGCATCTAAACATAGAGTGGATTAAAATGGATTTAAATGTGGTTTAAGAGAAATGTAACTTCATCACATGGGTTTTGTTTTGTACAATGAGACATGTAGATCATTCTCTAAAGTTTTTTATTTGGCAAAAAGTAAATACTAAAGGTAACATTAAAGATAAATTAATACATAGATTGGTTATTTCATAGAAGCAAATAACTTAACAATTCACATGATGAATTGCCAAAAGGTCAAAAAAATAATAAATTTCAGGAAAACATTGTATTTATGTTCTCATATTAAACCTATATCCTTTTCCCTTATTAGAAAACTACCCTTATACTATCACTGTAATAAATAAATATAAATAATTTACGGTATATACTTTTAATAAGACAAATTCAGCTATGATAAGGTTGACATACATAATTCAATGTAAACAGCTGCCAAATTGGATAAGGATATCCATTCATAGCATGATTAAGTATTATCAACTTGATGAATGAGTACATTTTAATACTAACAAACACATAAGGGACTGACTGTTCGAGGTTAAAGCACTGAATCAAATAAAAATATCAGGTATGTAGACTTAACAGCATTTAGTATTAAGAGACAAGATTACAAAACTCCTTATAATATAATTTATTCTTTTGTGGAAACGGTTTTTACATACCTTAATAATAAAATAACTTTTTTTTTCTGTACTTTTATGAGGCTTTTAAACCGAAATAATCTACAACCTAACTCTTCTTACTACTTCAATTTTAACCAGAGACAATTAAATCATCAATGTTTAAAAAGATACTATTGTTGCATAAATTATGTTTCAATTTACATCAATCCCAGTTACAAAGAACTCTATTTACTGTACAAAGTAATTAAATAAATTGGAGTCAATTATGTTCCAAGTTTGGTGACATTTTATAGTGTCAGGGGCAGAAGTGAATTAACAATGACTTCATCTGATAATATAGCAAAGGTTTGCAATTGTAAAAATCTTATAGAAGGTAAAAGATGAGTAAGTTTATCAGACTTTGATTACAATATTTGTAAAACCTATTGTGCAAGTTGTTTTGATTCAAGCATATGATCATAATTATTGAATTTAGAATCTCGCTTATGATAAGAACGAATAAAATTTATTATGATTTTTTAAAGTGTAAATGAACATTAATGTTGGATACATATGTATTTAGAGATAAAATATGCTTTACTAATGCACTTTGTAAAATATGAACGTAATTCCATACAGTGGCAAATTTGTATTAGAAATTCATGAAGGATAAAGATGTTAAGCCTTACCTCACCGCTGCGAGCCGCTGGGGAGTTTTCTTCAATTTGGTAAATAATGTGTGGCAAACCGGCTTCGCCGAGCAAAGAAAATCCGAATCCTAAGTTGTCACTACGATTCAGGACCACTAGTCTTTCGTCAGCCATATTCAGTGTGAAGCAGCATTGGTCACCACCTTCATCAGAATTTCACTGATATCACTTACAAACACTGCATAAAGGACTATAGCATCGAATATTACTCAACAAATTGAATGAAATAAATCACAACTACAAAGTACGACAAGCAAGCGCACCCAGCCAAAGCGAACGACAGGCACAGATTATTTATGAAATATAAATGTAATGTAAAAATATAAAGGTAGGCTTACACTGACATATCAATATGTTCCCAAAATATTAGTAGCAATGCTTCTAGTTCAGAATCTAACTTCGAGTCTAATTTCCCAAATTGTTTAGTAAAGACAATACATTAAACTGAAATTAACAACATTTAAAAACTATAATTTGGTAGGTTCACAGAAGATTGTTTAACGTGTCGTAGTCCAGCTTTAAGGACTAAACTTAATTTGTTTCGATTTCAAGTTATTCGAGAGCAAAATACATCGGTAAATCTAAAAGTAATCAAAACAACTGCTGTCAATGTAATTTTATTAATTGACTATGCATTTAGTAATTCGCGTTGAACGCAATTTTTCTCGGATTGTCAACATTTTAGTGCATATCCATGACAATGACATGACACAATGTCTTTGAGTGACAGATGACAGCTGGGCTGACAGCACAGCAAAGTTGAACGAGATAAGCTTATTCGGAGTTAGATATTAGTAAAAGAGTAAAGTGTAATTGTGTTGTATATTGTAAATCAGACAACGCAACGGTTGTGTAATAACTTTCTATCTTAAACACGTTGTATTGTTAAGATGCATTTCATATCGAATGTAATTAAGATTACCATTCCTAATTATTTGGCTAGTTTGCCAATTCCTGATTCTTTTGGCGGATGGTTTCGCCTCGGATGTAAGTCACCGTAGTCTTTTAGTTGTGTTTTAATATACGCTACTTTACAGACATTCTAATGTTGGCGTTCTATATAGTGTCCTTGATATTTTTTTTATTGTATGACTATGGGAATTCAGTTTCGAGAAACTTTTTCCTTATTGTCTTAAGGTTAATTTTATAAGTGATACGTACAATTATCATTCATAATTTTCCTTTGAATGTAATTTTAGCATATTATATTTGTAAAATTAATAACATTCATATTTTTAATTTGGGTGTATATTTTTTGGAGAGTTTTCCTTAACATATATTTTGTTTTTCCAGTATTCTTTTCAATTAGATTAAAATTGAAGTAAGAGATATATTCAAATGCAATATCTGAAGTAGGTCAATGCATTTTTGTGTCAATAACAGTTTTGCTTCTTGACAAAATGAATTATTTATCACATGCAACAATCACATGTCAAGGACTCTGAGTATTTCATAATATAACTTAATGTACTTTGGAAAAACCTTTATTTAATGTCTATATTAGCTATTTCACACTTTAACACTAGCTATCTAACACTTGTATTAATCTAATTATAGCAATTGCATACTGTGACCACCAAGAGATTTCTTTCCATGAACCACTAATAATTAATTTTGAACCTTATTAACATTGTATTGAATTTAATTTTCAGTTAAAGATTGGCTTGCCTTACTGCCTCCAACTCTTGCTGTTGGCGGCATCTCATACTACTCATACCAGACGATAAAGAAAGCGAATGAAGCTGGCAATGGTCAAGTCAACCCATGTATTAGAAAGGATATTAATAAAGTGGTTGATTTTATTGACATTGAGGATATAACGGAGAAGGTGTCTTTATGCAGATGCTGGAGGAGTAAAAATGTAAGTTACATTTTTGTTGCTGGCTTTGTAGTTATTAGATAACTTTTTTATTAAATAAATTTGTCATTTTACTTTTAAATGACAGGACTTTTTTGACCGACTTCCCAAATGGAGGTACTCAATTCGTCAATATGTTTTTTTTTATGTGTGTTATGTCAAATAATGTTGTGTATGTAAACATACATTCAGGGAGTTTTATAGGTTTATTTATCTGATTGTCACAAGATAGCATATCTTAAATTCGAACAAACAACAGTCTTTATAGTTATCTTGGTGACATATTTTAGTATTATTATTTTATGTTTAGGAAATATATGTATATATATGTTTTTAGTATTTGATTCGTTTTACTACATTTTGGGATTTAATAGGTTTTTATTAAATATTTGTTGAAAATATATGTAGTTTAATAATTTTAGTTAAAAAAATCAATGTTAAAATAAGCAAACAACATATGTTTCATAATTATATTTATAAAAAAAATGTGATGAACATATAAAGCATACATAAATTATTGCTAATTTCAGTGGCCGTACTGTGACGGTGCTCATGGTCCTCATAACAAAGCAACTGGAGACAACACTGGTCCAGTTGTAGTGAGGCACAAGGAGAACAAGTAAAAATAGTTCCATATAGACCTGTGTTGATTGATCATTTCTCACCCATGAGTGATTGGGTTTAAAAGACCGAATCACTCAGATTATGTCTTAGTCTGTCAGGTGACCAATGGCTCATATTGTGATTGATCACTCAAAAAATGATCCGATCACAGCGATCTGATCAATGCAGGTCTTGTTTCACATACATCATAAACAAACAGAAAGTGATACAAAAGTGATAAACAGGGCACACTTGACACTCTTTGATAAGTTTCTTTCTGATAAAAAATTGCATTTTATATGCATTTAAGTGTATATTTATTTTATCGTTAAAATTACATCAATACTACTTAATAAAAAAAAACATACAGACGAATTTAGTACCTCCTTCTTTTGGGAAGTCGGTCAAAAAAGTGTGTTAAAAAGTGTCATGTGTGCTCATAACTTAAGAATAAATTGTTATAGAAAGTATGAACAAAATAAAACTTATTAAGTCATTTTATTGTCTTTACCTTTTCTCTAGTTCTATTAGCTTCTAGTATTACATTTTTGCCACTTTTCTACAATTTTATATTAACCTATAATTGTTTTCAGTATTTTATGTACTTTATGCAATGTAATGTAAAAACCGTTAAATAAATTATGGAATTTGACTATTTATTTCCTTAAATCGACATTATATTTAGAAGATATTAGCTTATATTTATCAAATCACAGATATATTTTGAATCTTAAATTAAATATTTTTCGATATAAATATGATTTCACTGACTATAAGATTGCTGTTATGGCACATGGCATGTTTGTATGACTAAACTCATGTTCCAAAATAAAGGTAGGCAAAACATTTGTAAATGTCTAAAAGCAATGGCTACTTCGCTATTGGCAAATTCAGATGCCACTTGCTCATTTGCCATCTTGTATAAAAAAAATTCTGATACAGTAGAACCTCGATAAGTTAAAATCCAAAGGAAACACAAAATATTTTAAGTTATAGAGGTTTTAAGTTATCAAGGGTCTATGTTATAGTTTTGGGCTCTGATGGGAAGTGAACATGTTATTTTTGGAACTTATAGAGGTTTTTATGTTACCAAGGTTTGAGTTATCGAGGTTCTATTGTACTTGTAGCAAATTAGAGTTACGTTTAAATTTTAAATACGAAGCAAGAATTATTGGCTTACATATTATTGAAATTCAGTCTTATTGCTCGAGAATTCATAGTAAAATATTTTATACCCAAAGATTGTATAAAATCGTCTGAATTTTGTTTAAAAAAAGCTCTTCTGAAGATGTTTATGGCTCATCTTCATTATTCACAGCTGGAACAAAAACATACTATTAGAAATTGAAATATGAATATCTTGTAGACCTATCCAGATATCATTTTTGTATAAAAAACAGTAACTTGTTTTGTAGGTAATAGCTTTATGCTTCATAGTGAAAGGTGTTTCCTAATTTAATTCTGTATTTCGTAATTAACTCAAGTTTCAATAACATCGGAGATAACATTTCATGTTGAATCATGTTCCGCTTGGATGACTAGCAACCAGCTGTAACAGGTAGACGCGGGTAACATAACTAAAAAGATCCGCAGATCAATTCACAGTTCGCAAGTGTTCGGTTCGTAAATCAGCTCTTGTAGTACTAGCATCGAGATATTAGTCAGTTGCGAGTCACCGGGCAGTTCGTGGCTCATCGAGTCCCATAGTTATAGACATCGCGTTAAGCGGTGAGCTACTAATTTAGTTGTTGTGCTGCAGCTCAACGGTTTAAAGCTAGTTTCAGAGCTGATTTACATACGTCTAGTAACTGGATTACTGGAACTCTTGTTGCAAAATTATTTTTCGTAATTAAAACAATTCAAATAACGTGTCTTGCTCCAGGATTTTCGGCCAAGAAACCAAAAGTAAAGTACAAAGTGTATGTAAACTTACTTCAATTCTCGTTTCCGCTATAGCCTCCTCATTTCTCAGAAGTTCATGTTTCAGGCCGTTTCTTTTCCTGAAAAAATAAGTTACGATATTAGTCCATGAAAGATACCAGTAGACACTTAGCCAGACTAGTTGAATGTAAATAATCATTCACCAATTTTTTACATACAAAATTTGTACATAAGGAATATTAAATAGTCTCGAATACATCTTGCTTTTAAAAACTAAATGTTATTCAACTACATAACAAACTAAACTTAGTTGTTTATTGTATACTCCAATTGAGTTATTAAGATATCACAACAACAAACGTAAATTTAAAATATTACAATACATTGTTCCAACCGTAAACTTTATTGGTGACTTGTTACGCCTTCATTATAATGTAGTCATTTTTTACTTTCCCTATCATGTCCAACCTATCAAACAACAATAAACCTTTCCGTGGCTATTGTTATTTATAAGTTTTTAACACTTTACGGCGCAGTTTCCGTCCCACACGGGCGCTTCCTACGCAGCGGTGGGCATTGGGAAGACACGGTATTAAGTTACCCCACACAATGGTCAGCTCACATTACTCGGGAAGCCACAAATAAAGCCAGCGTGAACCGGCTCGTTTTGATATAGAAACCTTACTGTGAATAGACGAGAAATTTATGTGCCATGTAGACTGGTTGTAAGGTCCAATGGAATTGCTTAATTTCATGCTGAGTTCAGTAAAATATGCGTCATTCGTGAGAGAAATACTTACTGTATTGGAAAGTAGATAATAAATATTTATTAATACAATAACCTAAGCAAACAGAGGCACTTAACCTTCACAAGTATTGCTCCTAACGTCTTGGTCTCAGGAGAAAATTATTCATGGTCACAAGAAAAATGTCGCATCGTGCTTTTATAAAGACATAATTTATAGATACCCTAAACCAATAATCTCGAAGAATTAAAAACACTTGTAAAATATTTGATTAAAATGTTTGTGGTGAACAGCCATACGACTTATTGTCTATGGTATACGGATAGGATGTATCTATCCTGGATAGAACATACTGCAGCTATAAAATGTAAGCAATACAACATTTTTCGTCTATACTTACATATATATCCGTCTCCAGACGACGAGGGCGGTGTAAGCGAGACACACGATGGTGCAGGTGATCACCACCATTATGCCCGCAGCTGCACCTATAGGCTCGCCCCGCGGACCTGCGTACCGTAATCTTTGTGAGTCCCTACGAACTGTTTCACCCGGAACTATAAACATAAAATTGTTATTTTATTATGTGCTAGTGACGTTAAAACATGAATTCAAAGACAATTGAGATTAAAGTTTTTGTAAAATGTCTTTTTGTTAATTAGAGTTAACCAGCCGATTAGAAAACAACAAGCAAATGTTACTGGCAAAGTTAGAACGCCTTCTTGTCTATTTGCGTCTCGTTTTAAATCACTTAAGAAAGCAATCGTAAAATGTTGATTTACCGTCTACCATTTAATAGTTACGATCACAGTTTGTATTGCGGACTTGGAATAGTTATCGAACATGTTAGTGATTTTATCACTTTATGTTACAGCAATCGTGTTTTATGATATGCTAACAAAGAACTTCATTATTAATGTAACCGTGGGTTTCCACTGCCGATAAACTAATCCAAATAGAATAAGAGAGAGATAGAGCCTGACCTCAAACTCCCTACAAATTGCGGACAAAATATGGAACCAAATTCTTTTCGTAATAAAAAGTGATATCAATAAAGTGAATTCAGGGTTTTTTATATTCTTAATTATGCTACAAGAATATTTATTGTATCAATGTTTCTGTAACTCACAGTAAGAGACCGTTCACACTGCCAGTCGAGGGAGAGCAGTGCAGATTTTTGTAACAAATGAAATTGAGTTTTATGAGATAAAAATAAGGTTGAATTTTTGTTCTTACAAACTACGCTTCGGTCTGTGATCGAACTAACGTAGGCTATCTGTATTTCTGATTACTATAACTATATTAGGTTAGGCATTGCTAACGTATGTAACTAGGATCAATCAATAGACTCCTTTGAGAGGGTAGAAATACCGCTCATTTTATATTCAAAGTTTGTTCTGGGCCATGATATTAGCGGAGTGCATGCATTTAATGTCATAAGATTAGAACATATGGAAATCTAATGACGTGCTTGAATACAAAATAGTCTAATAAAAACATGCTCAGAATTATACGTTGCCAATGTTTTATTACTGAGATAGAAACGTAAAAACGAACATGACTTATTTAAGAAGTAACTTGAATTTACGACTTTACTTTGAAACAATTCAAAGATGTTGTAAGAACTCAGGATTACAGATAAAGATGTAATTCGGAATTAGTACGGCTTTGATATTATGAGGTCCTGGTATATACAGACCTTGTAAAAACTCGGCCTCGGCGTCCGGTATGCCTGTGACGTCGACGTGGACGTCCTCCATGTCCTCGGGGAAGGTCGGCAAGTCTATGTGCTCCTGGTTGTCGTCACGCGAATGCAGCATGTCAAATACCTCAGAACTGGCGATAAATTGCAATTCATAGAATAAATTGGTATGTCTACAAAGTTTTATGATAGTCAAGTTTATTTTATTTTAATTTTTATCGTTAACCGATTAGTTTTAATTTAAACTTTTAAAGTATCGGCAGTGGATATTCCGATAACCCGTTTGGTAAACAAGATTATGTTGAAAAAAAATATTCGGTATATACTTAAATTTTTATTTAATTCAGTAACCTACTATTTAATTACAAATATGCATATACATGACCTGGTTAAATTGAAAACAGTATGCTACAACTTTGACGCTTTTTAAACCGAACGGAAACGATTAACATATGCATCGAATAAAATGAATAGAAACAAGGTGATTACGTTAACGCGTCGTTATCTTTTAACATCTATAATTTTAAATTAATTAACATATCAAAGAATCAAGTTCAATGCCGACTTGCATTTGACTGCATAAATTAATTGAAGGAAGATTTCTATAATGTAACCGGTCATATCAGACGAAGAACGAAAGCTGCATGTTTTTACCGCACGTTGCAAGACATGTACTAGACTATTACGACAGTGAACATCTGTTTATGTGGTGATTTGATGAAACTGCGTCTTGTATTTATTAATTCAGTATTTATACAGCTATCTAATAAATATTTTTTTTAATCGGTAATAGGTCGCTATTTTACATGATTGCTATTTTTTGTTTTTTTCATGAAATTCTGAATACTTAATAAGAAGTATTGTGTTTTACCTGCTAACGCCATCTTTGTCATCGACTAGTAGTTTTAAAAGCGTAGCATTGGCTTCCAATGTCTTATATCGACTGTTATCTTCAACTTCTTTTGCTAAACTCGATACTGTAGTCTCTGAGGATATTGAATGCTGGCTGGAAGTGACCTGGAAACCTGTAATACAAAAAAAAAGAATTACTATCACAGTCAGCCAGAGCAGTTAATATTGCAGTATTCCTATTGAACACACTCGCAGATAGAACATTAACAAGTCTACTTCTATGCGTGATTGTTGTCCCCTCGTGTGAAACCAGCATTAGGTATTTACGTAATATTATGAGTAGACTGTTGTTAAACATAACGTGCGCTCGGACACGTGGAGTATCACTTAGCTTATCCAAAAACAAACATTTCCTACCAACCGAGGATTTCTCTTGGCCCAAACGCAATGTAAATGTTTGATTAACGGACCTTAAAACCCGGTTATATCCAACATTGGTACTTATATACTGATAAAATTTGAAAAAGAAGCCAGAAATTTTATAATACAAAAAGTAAGGTATGAGAGGTCAATTCCAACAACACGCATGTCTTACGCGTGTTTCCTTTGTCTTATAAAATCTTTATGTTATTTCCTACAATAGAGACCGTGAAAGATTTTTGGAAATATACGACCGTACATATTCTTGATTTACGAAAGGCAATAAACTCTTTCAAGTGTCGTGGATTCGAATAATGTTTTAAATAACGGTTCCCGATGATTCAGCACTTAATACATTATCCACGGTATTCTGTTAACCTCAAAATTCAAAGTGAAAGTGTTTTTACATTAATCGAACACTCGTTTTTTTTACTTGCGTTCTTTGTGCATTGATATTAAATTCTTTTGCATTCAAACAAAATGGTGTTACATTACCGTAAAGATATATTATGTGATTGATGTTAACACGGTTAAAATTCAAAATTAGGATTTTAAATTGTTTGCTTTTGTTATTCATAAACATATGCTAAATTTAGAGATATTAAAATACTACTTGTGGCAGTATTTATGTTTACAAAACCGAAATAACCTATAAATGTCTTTTGCAGTAAAATGGTCTAATGTTTCCATAGAAAATACATATTACGGTAGCGTTAAATTCATTGCTATGACACCAGAACACGTAAAGTTAGTAAGTGATGTTACTTGAATGTAATAACTTGACTCTTATCTTATTCCTAATGTGGACTCTCATTATTCAAGAGGCCATTTCCGTCCGTTATCGGTGACCAGACGTTGAGTTATTTACCACTTTGTTGATATTGTCAACATTCGATCAATATTATTGTTGACGATTCTTTCAAACAATAATACTCAAAATTCCATGCAAATTAATTTAACCAATGATCAGTTATAAATCGAAATCTTACTAATACAAAAGTTTAGATGGATGGATGTTTGTTAGAGTTTGTAGCCTAAACTACTGAACGGATATCGATAAAATTTGGCATAGACGGAGAGAGTAGCTTGGATTAACACGTAAGCTACTTAATTTTCCCTTTATTTTTTTATTCCACGCGGATTGGGTCGCGAGCGAATGGTAGTTCGACCATATTTCAAAATTCAGTTTTTTTTAATTTCACGTTCCTTTTTACGCGTAATTTTATAGTCATTTTATTAAAATAATATCGACTCTCTAAAACGTTAAATAAGCTAAACATTTTAATAGCGAACCGTAGAAGCTGTTGATGTAGAAAGTTCGCTATATCCGATTCCCTTAGTTCCTTATTACCGCTTTTAGAAGTAAATTTACTCCAAGGGTTTAGATATAAACTGTTTATATCTAAACCTACTATTTTTTAATTAAATTGAATCATACCTTATGTAGTATACAAGCAATAAGATTTTAATCTTTAGAAATGGATAAAGGATCGTTTTTTATTGTTTTATAAACGAGGTTATTGCTCTTTATTCTCCAGCTGCCGGATACGAATTAATGCAGTTACGGTGTACACGGTGTAGTTGATTTATTGCATTTTTAATAACCATCCTTACTTATTGCAATAGTTACAGTAAGCAGACGAAAAGACACACAAGATGTCGAGTCGAGAATCTTCTTTTCCTGTCGTGAATTGGTTTAAGTGCTCAATCACTCAACCCAAATAGATTTAGGGTTACCATTAAATCCGCCTCTTTTAAAAAATATTACAAAACCTTAACCCAGAATAACAAACTGACATTTGCCAGAGTTGCCTGAATAATGTTTTTTTTTAAGTAACATTAGACATATTGTGAGAAAAAAACTGACTGTTTAGTTCGTTTTTCGTTCCCAATATACATTATTATTCAAATTTATTTTCCTATATTCTATTAACGGAATAGTGTTAAACGTTTATTGTTTCAAAATCTCGTTAGCGCGTCGTGAGCGGGCACAAAGTCCCAAACCTGTTTGTTCCAGCCAGTTGCAACGTCGGTACTGAGTTACAGTCACCAATAATTCCGCCGTATCCAGTTTTTCGCTCCTAAAATACAAACTAACTACCGCCATATTTTAAACATTAATTAATTATTGTAGCGTTTTATTAATCGATGTTTTTCATTAGCTTTAATGTTATGAAAATAAACTGGTGCTATACAAAATTACATGAGTATTTTATAGGTTATGTTGTTATCAAATAAAATCATAGTGAAAGCTTAAAAACATTTATTTTGCTATGAAAAAGATTTTTGACATCCCTATGTGAGTATAACCCAGTCCCTGTTCACTCTCTTGGAACTTTTTATAATAATCCTTAATCCTTGTATAAGTACGTGTTGTAAACTTATTTGGTAGCATATTTTAGGGTCAAAAAATTTAAAAGCCAAAACACGATTTCACGTCACGAAGTTACCGTATAGCTTCTGCAACCCTGGTACATTCACGTTGAAATAAAAACCGTTGTCACGCTTCCAATGGTATGAAAGGTCGTTGTTGAGGTAAGTGAGGTTTTTATCTCATTCATTGACGGCCATCGCATATGAGCGATGATGAATCATTGGGGAAAAATAACTATAGTTAATGCTAGCTTTCGCCCGCGAATACGTCCGCGTGGAATTAAAAAAAAAATCAAAAGCAGATAACCTATGTGTTCTTCCAGTATGTTCTACATCTATACTATTATAATAAAGCGTAAATAAACGCTTCTTTGTTGCCTAAGATGTCAGCAATTACAGCATGTTTTAACGTAATTCTTTTCTTAATAAAAAGCTCTTCAGTTACGTCATGCTTTAGACTATATATTTTCCATGCCATTAAACTTAGGGGGTAAATATTTTGGATAAAACCCTTAATGTGGGAAAGAGACCATAAGTTGCTGCCAACATCAAGGAAGCAAGTTTGTTATCATGTCATGTCATTTTGACATTTATAATTGATAATTTGACAAATGTAGACAATAAAATAACGTTTTTATAATTTTATGCGGGTGAAGCCACACGGGAATCGCTAGTCTGTGCTAAATTTCATCGTAATCCGTTCAGGCGTTTAGGCTACAAACTCTAACAAACATCCATCCATCTAAACTTTCACAATTATAATATGAGTAAGAAGTAAGAAATATAACTACAACCTAATACATATGTTTTCTATTTGTACAAAACTCAAATTTACAAATGACGTGTCTTTATGGTTGAAGTAGATAAGTGTTCCTTATTGTTTTCGATTACCTTGGTACAGATTCTTGTATTGGTCATTAAGTGATTACTAACAAGTTACTTTTAAATGTTAAAGGTATTTCTAAAATCGTGAACGTTTATTCAATTTTAGTCATTTTCATGACGTCAGAACGTTTACAAAAAATATAAGGTCACACCTTACAGTAAGGATAAAAGTCTAAGACAAAAGTATCTTAACCTTAAAATTTACTGAAAACACGCATACCTCGCAGTTATAAAGACATTACATTGTTTCAAAAGGGTTATTATTTAGTATCATGTATCTAACTTACTACTAAGATTTACGTATGTTTGTAATAACCATTATCTCTGATATCGCTAACATGTGTTCAAGCGGAAAGGTTTTTCAAAGAATGAGTCACGCGTGCGTATGTAAAAATTATTTTATTCGCTTATACGTGGAAACGACTACTGAGAACACAATTATTTTTCAATTAGATTGACAAGATGACACGATATGATTCATGTTTATTTCCTTGGATTGTGTACATCTATACAATTACTTCCTATCATTAATCAAGCCGGTGATGAAAAACGTGATGAAACCTGCACATATCGGCAAAGAAAGATATAAGTCAACCAACCCGCACTTGGCTAACGTGGTTGACTAAGACCTAGTCACCCCTAACTCAGTGGGGACATAGTGAGCTGGTGATGACATTTGCAGTTACAGTCAGTGGTATATCGTAATTATTTCTATATACATATATAAATGATTGAAAAATATAGCAATATTCTCTTCAATTAACCATTTTAATCAAATCTTTTCGTAGAAATAACAAAATCACTTCATCACAACAGTTCTGCTATTCGATTTAAATACCCGTCGTTTAAGACTGAATTTCATTAGGTAAATTGTTTACCTTTCTAAGTACAGTTACTAATGAAATTGTTAATTACGCTTTAAGTAAAATCACTGTGTTAGTGTCGTGAGATATTTACATATGGCGCTGGAACCATGTGAACTGTCACCTGGGCTAGTCACGTCAGCTAGACAGACTTATTTAAATCTATACTAAGGAAATATTTGTATTTTTGTATGTACTGAAATACCTCAAAGACAACTAGGACAATTTCAAAAACTTCACCGCTTAAAAGCTACGTTATCGCTGAGTAATATAGGCTGTTTCTAATTTCACATGGACGAAGTCGCGAGCAACAGCTAGTCATGTATAAGGCTATAGAATAGATAGAATTTTTAATCCATATTTGTTCAAGAAGTATAACCGTGAATGTTGCCGAGATAGCGCCAATCATAAATTCAGAAACTCTGCTAATCCCTCAGGGTTATTTGCGTGAGTCACGTTTCATTATATGCGCAGCGAGTACAGTCTGTACATAGTAACGCTCCGAGCTCGATTCCTATTTTTCATCCATTTTAGGATTAGAATTACATTTTATAAACTAATGACTTTCAGAATTATTGTGATTGTTGTTTCTACTAAAAATTAGAGACGAAGAAATTAGTATATTGGTGATATGTAAAGTTGGAAAATCAAATCATTCAAAGAATTGAATGCTGCATCTAAAATAAGTTGCAAAACGTGATATTTAAGCAAGCTAAGTGAACTATATCCAGCATGACGCACGTCTCCCGGGTAGTCACGATCTAAACAAGTTTGCCGAGATGTCGAGAAGCCCAAGTCAATGCAGTCTTAGGGTTGTGGCAAACCCGTAATAAAAATTACATTTTAACCTGAAGCATTATAGTTCAAGGAGTTTTTTACATGTTTTTAGTTTTGAAGCAAATAGAAAAGAGGAAGGATTCAAATTATTGTAATTAGAACAGATTGTCAATTTCATTGTACTTTCTGTACATATTTTACCAATACACATTGACTCTATTAAAACTTTATTTTTAAATCTTTGATATTATACATTGTGGTCCTTCGAGCCGGATTGTGTTATTATATTTATTTCTTTGTGCTTATTCTATGTCTCTAAAACCTAATAATAATTCCTTTAGGTTCAATGTGAACAATAATTATTCTCCTATAAGGATTTGGATTTAGATTTAGGCGGAAGATTTCCATGTTTAAAGTGTTCTATACACTTAAATATAGAGTTATTTCAATTTGCACAAAACACATAAAACAAGGTTAAAAATATTAATTTTAATCCTTACCAACGAGAGCGACGAAGTAACACAGCAACTGATACCGAGCCATTATCAACACGAATACTGTAAACAACAATTTTTTATATTAAAACATTTGTTTGCAATGAATTTCCACTGCGCGCATCTTTACAGAAACATTTTATCACTGTCATTTTCAAACATAATATGAGAGATAATACATGATTTTATACAGTAAGCAGTGGAAAAGGATTTAACCGGAGTCGCTTCTTATTTCCTAGTCCTATCACGATATTCCCGTTCAATTTAGTCAAAAAACCTTTTTAATTAGCTAATATGTAGTTTCTATTATACTGGTTTTTCGTCATTAGTGTTCACGAATTACCTGTTTACGTTCACTGTTAAAATATTTAATTTCAAATGTTATATCATACAACTTTAATAAAATTAATGTACTTATACAATATTCATTAGAATATTATCTGCAAACAATTGGCGTTAGAATTTACATTGTCGATATAATATTTAAAAACATAGTTTCATCTAAAATGGTACTTCTTAATGTTAAATTAATAATAAAAGTTATTATTGATATACAACTAAATTAATTAAACACTGAATTTAGAACAGAAAACTATAAAACAAGTTTCGAACCTTGAACAACGAGGTGTTTCTAAAAATACCGGGGCGCGATTCGGGATGCGGTCCACGACAATCTTAGCACTAACACAAAAGCGCTAAAGTCACTCGATTGCAGCCAGATTACATTCGGTTTATTCGCGTAAGAGACGGAGCGCGTGATACGTACGTTGCTCTCTGATGCTCACGGTACACTGCCGGCCGGCGAAGTGCTCCGGTCTTGATCGACCGATATGAGTAGACGATGACGATTGAAAACCGGTGACCGGTGACCGATGACCGAAGACTCGATAGACGTAGCTAAGTTGAAGCGGTAGTTGCCGTTGACCTTACGGTTGCAGGAAGTTAATCTGTACAACACAGACCTCATCCATGACTCAGGCTACAATTTTCCTCACACAGAGGTACAGCAGATCTACTAAATCCACTTATTTCTTATATATCCTCTCACGCAATCCATTCATCATATTTTCAGTCTTCCTCTACCTTTGCATCCATCCACAATCAGTCTTATTATTTCCTTGTATCTTTAGAGGATATCTACCTTTTACTTCTCAATATCGTTAAATAAAGACTAAGTTATTCTTGAAGTGAGTTTTCCGCCGTCGATTAATAGATCCGAATCGTTTATCAACAGTCTGTTACAAAGTACTCTGTGTTTCTCAATAATTAAATTAAATACGAATTAGTATACAGATTGACAGATTTGGTTTGACAATTTTAGTTTAAAAAATGTAATTTTTCAAGGTTTGTCAAATTAACAGCGCACAATCTGGAGTTGTAAACGAGTTTCTCGACGAAATGTCTAAGATCAGCTCATACTAGACATTTCCACACATGCGTAGTAGCCACATGTCAACGCAACAAAGTACAGTCGTAAAAAACGGTTAAAATCTGAGAAATTGCATTTGAAATTTATCAAAATAAAACTTTTACCAGCGTAAAGGGAAGGCTAACTTATAATTTAGTGATAAAAATAGTTGTTTATTCTTTTATGTCCACAATACACACATACATATTGTCCAAAACTAATTTTTATTTATTATGATCTTCCAACTGATGATTTCAGGAGAAAAGTGATAGAAAGGCGAAATCATACATTGTTTTCATTCAATTCATTGTCACTATAGTTTGTCTAAATAAAATAGATTAGTTTGATAAATGACGTATATGAAGTATCCAATTTAATTTCTATGAAGGCAAATGCCGTACTTAATAGACAGGTATCGTAGTGACGAAATAAACACGCATAGCGAACAATT